TGTGGCAAAATAACTGATGTTCTTTCTCTGTGATCTGTAGTGTTTCTTCTGCGCAGACCTGAAAATGATATCTTTTGTAACAGATCACCGAAGTGCTTACATCCAAAGTTTGCATGTATGATTAACATAATATTTAGAGCTCAGATGTATTTTTGTCAGCGGTTTGTAAGTGAAAAGACAGAGTTTATCACAGTTCTCATTAATTTGGAATGTAAGTTGCATTAACAGCTCGCTTCTGGAATTTCAAGGGCAAGCAAGAGATGGCATGTGACCTTTCATGGGGAAAGATTTATATAAGAAGGGAGTTTAGGGGACTAGGGTTCAGGAGCCAGCAAATTATGCCAGAATTTTAATGTGTTGCATGTTTGTATTGTTTAAAGAAAAAGATGGGAAAAGGGGAAGGAGAAAGAGGGCAGATCAGAAGAGGTTAGCTGGGGAGAAAAGTTGCTTTTTCCTTAATAGCTTAAGGTATAGACTACTCATTCAGCATTCTTATAGGCTGAAATTTTGGTTTTGGTCTGGGCAAATTCACTATATGTATGTATTGTACAGGGACAAGAACATAATGTCTAAAAATTTGAAGGCTGATTTACTGTGTGGTCAGCTTTGATTCTTAACGGATTAAACAGTTAAGCCATGTTAAAGGTAAAGACACTATTGGATGATGACGATGATGATTATTATTACCTGGCACCCTTAATGAAAATGAAATTGCAATTCATTGCTGTAGGTGTAAAATCACAACTTTCAAAATTGCTGCAATATCTTCACAATTTTTGTACCCCACTTTATATGACATATAAATATTTTACTACAAAATGAAAGAAAAAACATTGCAAAATACTTCAGTTAAAGTATAGGAATAGTTTTGCTTTTGTAGGAATATCTTTATGAAGATAACAATATGGGTGTTTAATGATAGTAATGGCAGTAGTTTTGTTGGAAATATGTCTTTTGAATTCTTGTTACTGCCAGGCATGTTTTGCGTATATAATTAATAATGAAAGCAATTATTATTTTATGTGGAACACAGTGTTAATATGCAGTGATGTTCCATGCTATGCTCATGCACATGTATACTATATTAAGTAGTTTGTTGTCTGAATGATGTGTATAGTGCATCTGAGTTTAAGCGGTTTCAAAAACCTCCAGAAAATTCTGTGTAATTGATCTGAATTCAATCAGCAGTGCTAGTTATGGGGTTTCCACTAGGTTTTTGGGCAGCTTGCACATTATTTGAAAGAATACCAAAAGACAGAAATCTTTGTATTGATGATACGAAGATCCTTCTTGCTGGCTGTGGCTATCTGAATCCATTAACATTGGAATAACCTATTTTTCCAATTTGAGGACAAGGTGTCAATATTAACGAGTGCGAGTTCTTCCTGTCACTCTCGATAAAGGGAGTGGAATGAGGAACAAAACCTCTGGAATCTGTGTAGATCTGGGATCTGTAAAGGAGATAATGGCAAGCGCTAACTGAGGAGGTACTACTGGTGTTCACTGGCTGTTCAGTGTGTGTGTGTGTGTGTGTTTTTAATGTGGTGTCACATTTGGTTAATTAGCTTCAGTTAATAGGTATTTCACTTGGATATTGAAGGAATGTCCCTTTAGTGTTAAGAATTCATAAAAGGGGCTTGAAAAAAGACTTTGGAAAGGATAGATGCAGAGTGGAGGGAATGTGGTCGGGATCTAAAACATTAACGGGAAAATCTGAATCACCTTATTTTATTTTTTTGTCAGAAAAAATGGGCAAAGTCTGTTCTTTGTCCAGTGAAAGCAGTAGAGACCAGAGTGGGGTAGAGATTACTGAGGTACTTCCCTCTCTAACCAAGTGAGCTATACAGTATAGTGGAATAGGAAATGGCAGTCTGTCACAATGTCAGTGTATGCACTTTTGAAGCCCACCTGATGTAGTGAGCCTCAGTCCATGTAGACTCAGAGTAACTGTACCCATTATACAAAATATGGGAGACCAGTGGATACATTTGAATGCATAGCGAAGGCATAGGCATTACTGGAAGGGCAAAATCATACCTATAAGTGTTCTCTCTCCTCCCTCCCCTCCGTTCAGATTTTTCTAATTTGTTCTTTAACAGAGGTCTTCAAATTTTGTTAAATATTTTTAGTAGATTCCTTTACATAAAATAGAATTTTGCATTATTGATTAAACATGTTTTCAAATACTTGATCAGAAGAATTAAAAAAACCCAACAACCTTGTTAAATCATTAAAAAATAAAGATGCGAATGAAACCTGATTTAGCAATGAGTTAACATGTGGTATGTGGCCTTGATATTTTTGGAAACTTGTCAGTAGTTATCAGCAGCATATATTGAAACAAATTATAGCTGTTGTTGAAATCCCATGATCTGATTTTTTTCTGTTTCTGCCTGTTGTGCTAAAACAGTTGAGAATGTAAAATCACTTAGGTGTTGAGTTGCAGCCACCTTTTGAATAATCTGATATCTTGAGACATAACTGCTCTGCTGAAAGATGAATGACTTAATAAAAGTCAGCTGAAGCCAGATGGCATTGACACCCCCTCACTCCAAACCATGGATTTTAGGGACTTACTACAATTTTACTGATATTTAACTAGTTCGATTGAAAAATGCCAACAGAAATCAACAGTAATTACACTATAAAGTATGTGTGAGCATACTGTACTGAATTGGTTTTATTATTAAATGGGAGCGCAGCTACTGAGTCTTCTCTTGCACAGGTTTTAAACTTGTGCAGCAGCATTAAGTGAATTACTTTGTATTTGCATTCATGTAAAGGAGTAGAGTCCATAAGACAGACCTTTTTTATCTATCTTTTTGCTTCAGTATAAGGATTAAATGTAAATTTCTGTATTTGGGTGAAGTACACTTCCAATCAAAGTAAGAAGCTTCTTGTGGCAAGAGCAGGCCAGGTCCTCGCTGCTTGTAGAATGGAGATTCTTTCAAGTGTTCCTGGGTCTAAACTTTTCACAGAGAATGCAACTTGCAGTGCAGTAACGTGTGTATTTGAAAATAATAATTTTATTTCTTTTCCAAATTTATCAAATTACAACAAATTTTACTTTGTAATTGCAAACATATAAAATTCCAAGATTTTGAAGAATTGCCCTGATTGCCCTTGCATGAAAACAAACTAAATTCTGGTGGGATGGAAACAGTGTTTCCAATCTATCTGTATTGTATACAATTTAAGAAGCCATGTGAAATAGTTAGATTTTATGCATTATAAGTAGATTTGTAAATCTCTATCTCAGGATTTTTCTGTGGAAGGATTGACAGGGCTTCTTTTGATTTGGGTTTTTTTTGTGGTTTTTGTTTGGTTTTTTGGGGGGGTGTTAATTTTTCTTTTTTTTATTCACATCTCATGGATGTGAATACTTATTTTGCTTATTTTTTTCTGATGCTCGTATCTTGGATACAGAACTATACACTTTAATTTTTTTCCTTTAAAATGTTGCATTTTTATGATGTATCCTTCATGCATCCTTCCATAAACTCTTTTTTCCAACTTTGATCTTTCTTTGTATTTAAGTTGGTGATTTTCTAAAGATTCATCTTAACTGCTGTGGGCCTTAACTTTGACTGTTTAATATCTGGAATTTTTTTGAGACTTCTGTGAGCCTTTCTGAAAAGGATCCTTTTCTCATTTTTTTTGAAAACTTGGATACCAAATCAGTTGCACTTGAACTGGATGTAGATAGGAAGTGTTTCTTTTTTCAAGAGTGTTTTCCCAACAGCGGCCTCTAAAATCGAAAAATCAGGAGTAACTGTGCTGGGCATAAATTGCTGAGTTTTGGGAGCAGGGGACAACTTGTACGAGAGGAGGCCAGGAACTACCTTGTGCCAGTCACAGCTGCTTCCAGCCAGCTTTGTAACCGGTGTAAACACCCCAGTGTGTGCCAAAACCTCAGCCAGCTAGAGGAGCTGGTGGCATATCTGCTCACCTCTGCTCAAGATAGAGCAACAGCCATGAGAGGCAGGAGATGTGGAAGGGGACATTGCTGGGGATACGGCTAGGGACACACTCTTGGAAGGAGGCACTCCATGCCAGAGGAAGCACACCCCTTGAGGGACGCTGGCCACCGGTGACCTGTGCCAGGTTGGGGATGCCCCTGGAGGGACTGTAGCCTGTAGATCTGTGCTGGAGCAGAAGAAAAAGAGGCAAGGAACAGCAGAATAAAACTGCTATGTGCATGATCCCCAACCTCCTGCACTGCCCGTCACCTTGCCAAATGAATTGGGATGGTTGGATCGACAAGGGAAGCTGAGATTAGGGAGTGGGGAGGAGATGTGCTGGACTGAAGTTGAGCCTGAGAAGGGAGAGGAAAGATGTGTTCCCAGATGTTTGTTTAATTGTTTATTGTCTTCTTTGTACCTGAATCAGTGGTCAAAACTTCATGTTAATTGGCAATAAATTAAATTGAAGTACCAATTCCCTGAGTCAAGACTGGTTTTCCTGTGACAATAACTGGTAGTCTATGAAGCAGCCAGTTGTTAATAAACAAACCTTTGTCCAGCCCATATATACTGTGTAGAATCTGCTAATTATCTCTGAGGACATTTTAAGCTGGCTAGAGCAGGTGATGTTTCAGACCTGATGAATCAATAGCTAAATCTGCTAGGTAATGCTGAAGAAAAATTTCTGAGTCTGTTGAGTATCTAGAACGATTTAACACATATTATTATCATACTGATGGTAATCTAATCTTAGCTACAAGGAGAATATAAGTCAATATAATGGTGTGCTCTATTATAATTTAAAGTCACCTTGTAAAACTATTTGTAATGTTCTGAACCAGGCTCTAAGTGGCTAGAGCTTATTGCCACTCCTCATTTTTTCTCTTGAAAGCACTTACTTCCCACTGAAATAAGAGCAACCCAAACCAGTTTGTGCATATTTGTATTTGTACATCTTTGTATGTCTTATTTTTAAATCTAGTAACTTACTAAGATGTGTTACGCGATCAGATTCAAAACTATGGCTTCAATTAGACCATGATAAAGTATCCAGTTGATCGCAATTTTGAAACCATCCTCTACCTGCCTTCAGTACTCCAGAGGAAAAGATTTGAAGCACGTAGGAGTGTTGTACAGAAACTCTGTTTGTGTTTGGTAGTAGAGAGGAGTAAAACAATTTGAAAGTAGAAGGATTTAAGGGTCCATGCTAAAAATCTAGTTGAAGAATTCGCCTTGGCTTTACTTGAGACTTCGAGAAGAATAATGCATGTGCAGAAAAGTGCAAAATGATTTTTTCTAAATAGTACTTGGAACATTTTATTCTATATGTAATGATTTCAAGGTATCTCCTCAGCATGTGAAACTTCAATTTAATTATTAGTTGTTTTGGAATGATTTCCCTTTGATCCCAGAGATGAACTGAAGTGCAAGTTCAGGTAGCATAAGAAGTTCAATCTGGCTTTCAGAAAATGTTCAGAGGTGCATTTCTTTCAGGTAAATTCCTACTGAAGTTTATAATCCTTCTTGAAAGCAAAATGGAATTACATGCAGTAAGATCTTTTAACACTGGTGGCCAGCATTAGTGGCCTTCCAAGGAAAGTAACCTAAAAAGGCTGGTAATGTTTTGGCATAAAGGAGTGAATATTACAAATTTTTTTTTAAAAAAATTGTACATCTCTTAATTCTGAATTAAAAGAAGTTCCTATACTGTAATGTATGGAGTGTCTTTCTAGCAGTCTAATAAAAAGAGAACTAGAAAGACTGGTAGCTTCAAAATGTGATGAATGGATTTCATTATTCATAGGTGTCGTTGGTAGTGTCAGAGGTCTCAGTCTTTTGAGAAGTGGGGTGGATTCAGAGTAAAAAAACCTGTCACCTGTGTTCCCACAGAGAAACATAGGGGACTTACACATAGCAGGGACTGAACTCTTTTTGCTGCTGTAATTCTTTGATACTTCCTTTCCAGGAAGTCTCGGTATCTCTGTTCACCTCAGTCCTTCTGCCGTTTCTTGCTGTTGGTCTCTCAATCACAAGTTCTGCTCTACTTGGAGGGTGCTTGTGCTCACTGCTGTCTTGGCTGCATTTGTTTGCTGTCTCTTCCTTGCTCCATCTGCCAGCATTAGAACAACTAGAGGAAGAAGAGGTTTGACAAAGACAGGGCTTATGAAAAGCAGATAACATGGTAATTTGAGACTGTAACTCAACAAGGGAAGAAGTTCTGATACTGAATCAGCGAAGGAACAGCCCTCTCAGAGTGAAGAAGAGAGTAGTAGAGGCTATCAAGTAGGTGACTGTGTAAAGGAATGGGAGGAAAGACGAGTTCTCTGAGTGGGATACCAAACGTGAAGGGTAAGAGGAGAGCACAGAAGGCTAAAGGCTGTTTATTGCATGCTAACAACAAAATACATATACATTCCTGGTTGAACCATATCTAGTTGAAAATGTAGCTGTTCTGTTCTTTTTTTACATGGAAGATGAAAATAGGGGCTGGATGTCTATAGAAGAAAGGAGGGATGCAGGAGGTTTTTTGCCTGCCTAGGAGGGAAGGTGTGTGACTGTCTGCTCTTCTGAGAGCTGTTTAGGGAGGGAATGGTAAAGCCTTTCCATTTATGCCTCCTAATTTTGGAAGGATGTTGAGATGAAATGGTGGGGGGAGAGGAGTGATAATTTAGTAGAAAATGCTGTGTGAGAGTACATGAGGCAACACTTGATCTTAAACAAGTGAAATTAGTAAGAATTAGTAAGAACCCTATTCAGTTCTTACAGTCTAATAGATATGGAGCTCCCTTTCCTTACAAAAACTGCAGCTGTAGCCACGTCTGTATTTGTTCCTTGGTTTCTGCCACTTCCTAACTCTGCTCTCTCAGCACCTCTGCAGCTTCTCTCTAAATATATCTCCTTTGGCTTTTAACTTGCTGATTACATCTCTTACTGCTAGTTACATCTCATAGCTAACCCAGTCTGGTTGCAGTTCTTCAGCATGCTGCCCTTGGGAATCACAATCAGTATGTGTTATCTTGGGGGTGAGATTGCTGTTTGGAGTTTACTCTGTGTAGTTTATATGCCCATTGTACCAAGAACATCTGTTCCTAAATTATTTTCAAGAGAAAATCATAGAACGTTAAGAACGTTAAACTGGAGAAAATACTTTTACTAAATTATCAGATTGATTCTACCTAAATGCCTTGTAAAATTTATTGTGGGTTTTAAGATTAGAAGCAAACTCAAACTGTAAATTAGCAGGAAGCTTAAAGGAAGCATATTTTTTTCCACCATAACATTGATTTATTAATTGCTTTATGCTAGCAGACTTGAGTTGCGTCAGACTGAAAATTGTTTTTTGTGGTAAAACCAGGAAAATAATGTATTCATTGCTGCTGCTTGGGTGTCTGCAGAGGAAGCAACACATATGGACTGCTACTACTAATGCAGAATTTGTACTGTTTCATAATATTATAGTTTTGAGAATTTCACAAGAAAATGTTAAAAAATTTTAGTGTTTAATCTCGAAGTTTTGTAATATGACTTTAGAGAAAGAGTGATCCAATTGAATGTGATGGGTCAGCATAGATTATTAAAACTACTAAAAGATACTTTAAATGATTGCAGATTTCAACTTTGCCATTTAGGAAGCTTTATGTATAGTTTTATGAAAACTGGTTTCCTAAGTACCTGTTTTTATTTTAAATCAGACTTTCATCCATGCTTGCAGTGATATCAGCTTGCTTCCATATTGACCCTGTTTCTCCTATAATCCGCTTACTGGGTAAAAGAATGCAAATACAGTGGTAGTCTAGAGCTGTGTGTGCTCTGCTTGATCGGTTTGAATATAGCTGCTGATTGCCGGGGTGGGTGCTGCCTTACAGAAGAGGTAACTGTTTAGCTCTGGTGCTTTTTCCTTCTGTTCGGAGTAGAGGAAAGAACAAGAGTTTGTGCCTCTCGTCTCTACGCAGCGATTGATTTGCAAGCATGTGTGTGTTTTGTGTCCGCTTACCTCTGAAATTACATTGAAATCATCCAAAAGATGCAGAAATTGCTAGAGTGAAGACTGATGGATAGGTAATGTTTTTGCAGAAATCTTGTTTTCTTAGCTTTAAAATGTATGTGGAATGTTAGACGGATCTTCAATGTGCATGTGAAATACTTGGCCATGTTAAAGCAGTTTCCTTCAGAAATCAGAATAATATTAATTTTTCAATTTGTTTGGTATACTTGTAAGATAAATAAAGCAGAGAATTTGCTTTTTTTCTGTAGGAAAAGGCAAGATTTGTGCAAGAGAAAAGATCATTCTTCCTACTGTTGTACCATGCTTTAAATGTGGAAAACATAAGTTAAAGGCTATTGATTGCATGCTTTACATTGTGTAGTGGCTCAGTTCAAAATGGTCCTAGCTTTCAACATTCCTTCAGGATAGTATTGATTAATGTAAAAATTGCTTTCACTTTGCCACATTATGTTGTGGTGTATCCCAGAGCTAAAATTCAGTAAAAAAAGTTATGATTTTTGCAATATTTCCTCCAGGACTTTGCAGGTGAAGAACAAAATTCATGTTTGTATGTGCATTCCTGGACGCTATAGTTGAATATTTGTGGTGTTTCTCAAGGGCTTCCTATCTATAGCACTGTGGCCTTAAAAAAAGGAGGGGGTAAAAAAAAAATACAATTGCATCAGAGAAGTTATCAGAAATAGCAGTTTTTCTCTACACCTTTCTTTGTAGAAAATCACTGCTGACTTGTCCAAGGAAACCAACTAGAAATACTGGCAAGGAACTAGAGTGTCCTGGATAAATCATGTAAATTTTTAATCTGTAGGTTTCTTTTTGAAAACCGCTTGTTGACAAATGTTTGATTTCTTTTATTAAATATCACATTATCCATCATGTTAGTTTTTAATTTACTACTGTTTATAGAGAGAGACTAGAATTACCAGTAATCATCTGTCACCTTGAAAACATGCATGACGGGTATAGGCTGGATGCAGCTTTGTTTCATGTAGTGACTCCTCGTGTTACTACTGGAGAATATTAAGATTGTATTTATTACATGACTTGCAAGACACATTTGAGGAGCCTGTTCTGCCTCTGTGGCAAAACTTTTCCTAATATTGGGTATGTTCTGAAAATATTCTTAAATTTATGGTGATTTAACTTCCTCCAGTTTGCCTTTAAGTAATTGAATTTTATCTTTCAGCAGGCCCAACAGAAGGTTTGGGAAAAATAATACAAAGATTTCCTCAGAAGGACTGGGAAGACACTCCTTTTCCACAGGGAATAGAGTTGGTAAGTTTGCATTACATTCTGTAATTTTTAGAATTTCTTTCATGTACAATTGGAAGATATATCTGCCTTCATGCAATAATCTGTATTATCAAACCTGACAGGGAATGGATAGAAATTACTTGAATAGAGGGGATAGATAATAGCTTTAAGAATAATAATTTTGGCTAACAGAAGGTAATTTATTCTGGTCTGTACTACTAAGTAGATATTCCTAGAATACAGAAAAAGTCTGCTGCAAATTTAGAAACATTGTATTTGAAATAGATGTTTATTTGTGTCAGTAAGTTTATCATTGACTACATTTTTAGAAGCATCCTTCAGATGGCAGATGACTTTTCATTGTCATGTTCAAATAAATACAAATGTGTATTTGTATATTGTAGGTTTAAAAAAAGAATTAAAAATAACATCCCAATAAACTGGCTTGATTAAAATGGTCAGTCTTTGCCCAGTATTCTGTCCTTGACAGATGGCATAATGGGTGCTTATAAAAACAGTACACTGAACAAGGCTAGTGATCTCTTTTAAATGCCCTCTCTGAGAATTCACTAAGTGCCACTTCTTTCCCTTCCTTGGTCTCGTATTGTGAGATGCAGTGAAAAGATATAATCTTACTCATCCGGATCAGGGATTCATTAAACATATGGCTCTAAGAATCCTGCAGAGAAATGAAATACTGTAGTCATACTCTGCAAATTAGGTTTCTGAGAAGTCAGAGTGAAACTCACTGCCATGAACTTAGGAACTTCTGGGACAGGATGAGCTAGAGAAGGAGAAGGCCCATAGGAAATGTTGCAATAGAAGTCTTTGTACTGTGGGACAAAATCAGCTGCAGAGGACAAAGACACTGACTCTTCACTGAATTTATTACACAGATAGAGCAAACATAGCAAGCTTTTACCAGTATGATACCTTTCAACCAGTGCTCAGCTCACTTGCTGAGTCTTAACATTGGCCATGTGTTGTCTTCTCCAGTGAAAGAGAGGGGAGGGGATCTTGGTGTTTACTGCTTGCTCTCTGGTGTAGCAGAGGTTTATGTTATTCACTGTGTGCTGGTGTACGCGACTGGTTGCTCGTTTTCTTCAACAGTGTGGTTTTCATTTCTTCATAGTCAAGCATAAGCCTTATGTTTTGGGGGGATGCCATACATTAATTACTGGTGTAAGCATTATTTCTGATACATGTGATGAATAGTTACAGTGTTTGTGGTACACTTGCATAATACTACATTTGGCAATGTAGTGCTGTGCTGAAACAATGGAAGCTCCTGCTTTCTCTGAAGTGTTTCTACTACTCTTACAACATTATACCACTCTGTATGGCAATTGCTGTTTGCTCTAGCTCGTCATTCTCTACTTAATACATGCCTAGCCAGCATGTGCTCAATGACTGCTGACTGAGTTCAGATAAGTGGCTTTTTTACATAGTACACGCAGTTGTAGTTCATTAGAAGAGAAATAAACTTTTGATGCCAAGGCTTAGGGGTGTTTTCTTTTTTTAACCGCTCTCTTGGGGGTGAACTAGGTGGTTTGATCTTGCCTTAAACAACTGCAAGAGTTTGAGTCATACTAAGATTTATTTTGTCATATAAATATTCCTTACCTATTTCAAAGAAAGTAATGTGTCTGACTTCCAATGATGTTTTGAAATAAATGAGTACAGCTTCTTTTAAAGCAGTGAAGCTTCTTAAGTGATATATCTGTACTCAAATGTTATTTCCCATTTAAGTTTAATTGTAGGATGTTAGCACTACAAGAAATAGCTTTCTAAAGGAAGATTTTTTTTTTTCCCCCGCTTGATTGAACAAAACATTATTTTTGTATCAGTTCTCAAATGACTCATTAGGCAAAGCCATTAAGACTTTAAACTTCCCAAGTAAAATGAAATCTGATGACTTAAAAGCTAAGGACATCTATTCAGCCAGTTGGCAAAATTAATCAAATTTTGACTTGCTTTCCAAATGTGGTAATAAAATTTTAATTAATTAAGATTGAGGAGTTAGAGATATTGCAAAGATGAAGTACTAAAGTAAATCACTTATGAAAGTCAGATTTTGGCAGGATGGTTTTTTAAGGTTTTGGATGAGTGTAACCTGAATCAACATTAATTCATGAAAAGGAAAGAAGAAAAGCTATGTTGCCGTTTTCTGTTTATCACCTTAAGGGCAGCTTCAATATCATTAAGAAGGTAACAGGCAAACCTTGGCGGGGGGAGGGGGAAGGAGAAAGAAGGTAAGAATAGAATAGTTGACATAAATGTATATGAGAATGAAGGTAGACATTTTTATGAATAGCACTTAGTTCTATGAGTAATTTGAGTTAAAATCCTCTTAAGTGTACTTCCTCTCCTTTGAGTGAAATGGAAAAAAAGCAATGGTTTGTGTCTGAAAAACACGTTAAGCTCTCTTCACTGTGTTTTCATGAAGGAAAAAAAGGCTAGAGCTTTTCATGCCTAGTGATAGGATTGACGGGAGATTTGATTTTTGAGTCTTGGCTTCTGCAGAAGTTAGTTCTTCTGCCGTGAATCATGGAGATCTTCAACTGATTATTGGTGAAGATCTTGCCACCCCCCACCCCCCCCTTTTATAAAGCAAGTTATTTGCTTATGAATTTGGACATTTGGATGTCCAAATTTTTTTGCCAGATAATACAGGTTGAGTCAGATAATTTGTCTTGGCAACTAATGGGTGATATGATTTAGTAGTTGTTTCCCATTCATGTTCTTAGTAGCATTTTATGAAACAAGGCAGGGGGGAAATAGTGGAAAAGACCTATGCCTACCCCTGAAGTTTTAATACTTTAAGATAGAAAATGCCTGTTTGGACCCCTTGTGATCTCCATAGCTTGTAGAGATGCCATTAGTCCAAGCTCCAGCCAAAATGTAGTAGACAAAATCCTCTGAGACTTTTGTGGAGGGCTCTTCTCTTTCCCCAACCCTGCATGCCCGCTACCCTTCTGGGCTTGTATTCATGTGGTCAGATTTCTGAGACATAAATTAGACAATGTAGAGAGCAGAGTTGTGCAGGTAGTTTTTAAGTTAAAATATTATTTCCAGTGTTTTTATTATTTTCATTTCGTTGAGCCCAGTTTTGAGAAATGGGCTAGCATGGGAAAAACTGTACCTGATGGACCTGCCCTTGGCTGAGTGAAAAGGGATCATTTTGAGAACATCTTATCTAGGAAAGATGATGACCCTATTTCAACTTTTACTTTTAGCCTTGATTAATTTGACACAAATATGTAGAGAATTGGATCATTATAAAATGTAATTGCAGTTTAAACTTTACTGAAGAGTATTATATTTGGTGTATATATATATATTCTGTATTAAAGGATTAAGAGTTACTTAAATTGTTTCTACTTTTATGTGTGTAGCCTGTGTAGCATGTTAGTTCTGGTCTTGTTTAACAAACACATAAGTTACGGAATAAACACATTGTCCAAAATTCAGCAGAAATACACTTTATAAATTTTATTGAAATAAATTGTTTTAATTTGTCTTGTTACATAAATTATGTGTCTCGTGGTTGTCAATGGTAAGTGAGCAAAGCCATAAGTCTCTGTCGAGGGAAAGATACTGTCAGTAAGTGTCGGTCAGTGTATCTTTTTAGAGCTTCTACTTGTCTGCATCTCATCAAATTACCTAAAGAGATTTTTCTTAATCTTACACTCTTAGCAGTTGCCATTTCTCGAACGGCTTCACAGCTTTTAACTTCATTCCGTTTATAGCTGAATACAGAAACTTTGACAAGTGAGCCTACTGGAAATTGCTGTGAAACATACCTGAAGGTTTTTGTCATGGATTATTGATCATTACAGTACCCAGTAAGGGCCCTAATGCTTTTTTACTGTTTGTTGAATTGTGATATAACTGAGAATAAGGTATGATATTTGTTAATATTATATATCATACATATTGACTGTTACTTCAAAAGCAGTAAAATGCTCTTCTTTGATTTGCTAGAACCTTTTGTGGGCTATTCAAGAGGAATATAGAAAACACTTTTTTATAATTTCAGTTTATAATCTGAGCATCTTCATTTTACTGACAAATAGCAGTCCCTCTCCAGTTTACTGACAAATACATGTCAAAGTGAGTTTTCTCAAGTTTCATGGAAGTAAGCTGACTGAGGAGTAAAGAGAGATTTATACTCAGTCTTAAAATTAATAAAGTATTTGGCTCAGAAAAACATTTAAGTCATCGGTTTCCAAAAGAATGCAATTAGAACATACCAATCTGATAGTTGCCCCCCATAATATTTTAAATGAACATGTTTGGGTATCCTTCTCCATTGTCTGTTTCAGAGAAGTTCTTTCAGCATTACACAGATACAGCTTAAGTTTAAAAATAACTCTCTAAAATCAGCTGAGACATATAGAGCAGTTTAAAATTAGGATAATCAAACTTCTTGTTCTCGCTTGTAGAAAGAATCCTTGAGAGAGTATGTTGGTTCAATGAGTTAGCTTTATATTTCTGCATATTTTTCGTATTTATAATCCAGTTTTAATTCTGCTATATACCTTTCTAGACATCATAATTAGTTACACATCAAAAGAGGAGGCTTTGGTATGTAGTGTTACACTGTATACTCTTTTTTGTCCCAGGGCTAAATTAGCTAAACTAAGTGTCATCTGCATTACTCAGTGTTGGGAGGCTAGTATTAATTAGGCCAATGAAAGTCATACCTAGAAATAGATATGTTGTCTTAAGTTTAAACTAGATATAATGTGTTTGTGCAGTTCGTGAGTAGCAGGGAAGAAAATTTCCCACTATAAGTGGTGGTGGTAGTAGTAGTGTCATGAATTAGTGATTTTCATTTCAAGTATCTGCAGGTATAGAAATGAACATACATTTCTAGAAAAGCTAATCACCTATCCAAATAATTAAATTATAAAATGTAATTTAAAGTGTGTTATTTAATACAATCCTTTGAAGACAGCTTATGTGTATTATGATACTAAGAGAAATGCTTCTGAAGAAAGACTGTTTATGTGTCCCTT